ACCATTAAAAAAAAAAAAAAAAAAAAAAAAAAAAAAAAAAAAAACATCAAAAACCTCCTCCTCCTCCTCCTCCTCCTCCTCCTCCTCCTCCTCCTCCTCCTCCTCCTCATCATCATCATCATCATCATCATCATCATCATCATCATCGCCATCATCATCACTACAACCATTGTTCATGGTACCTGCAACTAGATGAGAAGGAGATGGCAACTCCCAGACTGACTGGTTGGTAGCCTGCAAGACAGACGTCACCAAACAGCTCAGCATCAATGGAAGCCTTGCCTGACAAACGTAGAAGGGAATCCCACAGGGGGCGATCCCTCCGAAGACGTAACCAGGAGCTGCGATGTCCCCCGGCTGCATGTCTATCTCTGCTCAGACCAACAGCTTGTCAGGGTTTTCTCCTCCTCTGCATCCTCAGAAACTCGGATAAATCTTCATCTACCTCCCATTTCTCAATTATTCTCAACCTTATCCTCCTAAAATGTTTGTCCATCCCCTTCTTCTCCCCTCCCCTTCCTCCCCTCCTCCTCCTCTTTCTTCCCTCACTCTTCCCCTCACTCTGAACCACCATGGACTTACGCTTCACGTCGATACGCACGGCTCTCCTGCGGGTATCGGAGGCAGAAGAGGAAGCAGGAGGTTCACTGTCAGGCAGTCACGCAACAGCTTCTCGAGCATCGCCGTCATCACCGAGTGATTGACCTGTTCACTTGCTCTGCTTCGTCTATCCGTCATTCCCAAATACAAACATCCGCATCAAACTCACCCTGCTGATTCTGCTGCGGCGGCTGCGGCTGCGGCACTTGCTCTTCCTGGTACGCTGGAGGAGGGCGCGAGTTGTTGGCCCTGTCTTGCTCGACTCGCTCGCGTCTTGCTGTCGCTTCGCTCTGCCACTTGTTCACTCCTCTTGAGACCCTCCGACGTGCCTCACCCTCCACTCGTGTGGATCATGTGTCCGGTTCACAGCGCTCCCTCCTCCTTCTCCTCCTGCTCCTCCT